AGGCCATGATGCCCCATCCTCGGCCTGTGCCTGTGCCCGTGCTGGGCTGTACCGGGCTGATGGCTCTCCTGGGCCTGGCCCGCTCTTCGCCAGTGCTGCGCCGGGACAGCCCAGGCCGAGACGCTCATTCTGCGCCGTGGTGCTTGGTAGTGCGTGTCTGCAGGGCTGGAGCGAGGCGGCCCGGCACGGGGCGGCTAGCCAGGGCTCTGCTGCTTTGTGCGAGGGCAGCCTCCGCTCCTGCCGGCCTGAACTGCCAGGGACACTCCGGTCTCGGCTGCGGTTTTGGCGCTAGGCAGCTCCCTGCAGGGATGGCCTCCTTCTCCGTCCTGCCGCCTTTGCGTGCGGGCAGCGGCCTGCCCTGCCCGGGCTGAGCCTGCCCGCGGCTGTGAAGCTGCAGCCGTGGAGGGCTGCGGTGTGCTGGGAGAGGAAGGGCGGATAGATCAGGTCCCAGGTGCCGACTCCGCATTTGTCCTCGTTACGGTCGGCAGGGCTGGTGGTTGCCCAGCGCTCTGATCCACCAAGACCTCTCCGTAAGCCCTCTCTGCCCTCGAGGGACTCGGCGGGTGCACGTAGTGCGCGCTCACCTCCCCGCCCAGGTCCCCGGTAGGAGCACTGGAGAGGACAGGCCCTAAACCCAAGCCCCGGGGGGACAGTGACTGGCCATGTGCCAGGTCTTGCCCCATTTGCTACAACCCTCTGAGCCAACCCTTCAGCCCAGCGTTCACCCATCGCATTCGTCCGGCTCCCGCCGTGTGCTGGCCGTTGGCACGTAGTGCGCGCTCACCTCCCCGCCCAGGTCCCCGGTAGGAGCACTGGAGAGGACAGGCCCTAAACCCAAGCCCCGGGGGGACAGTGACTGGCCATGTGCCAGGTCTTGCCCCATTTGCTACAACCCTCTGAGCCAACCCTTCAGCCCAGCGTTCACCCATCGCATTCGTCCGGCTCCCGCCGTGTGCTGGCCGTTGTGTCCAGAGGATGCTGCCAATACAGAGACAATATCAGAAGCTCTCCTAAAATACAAAAAAGCCCACGTCCACTTCTGGGTAACCTCATCACAACCTTGTCGTTCCAGACGTTTCATCTTCTAAGTATTTCCAAACCTGTAAATGTGCCTTGCTGATTTGGTTTTAATCTTGTATAGCTCTTCAAATGAACTTGGCTGGATCCGAGCACATTACTTTAATCACAGCTACAAATCTAAATTAGCAGTATTAAGTTAGCAAATCTAAATGAGCCTGGTGTCCCAGCCAAGACCGTCTGGGGACCCTGGCAGTTGTGCACGGGTGCCCTGAGCTGCTGAGTCCATTTGAGTCTGGCATGTGTCAGATCTAGATGGAAAGAGAAAACTCCCACCTGGAAAGGTTGGCTGCAGGCGCCGCGTCGGGAGGCGGCCGGTCGCGCGCCACCAGCACGGTTTGGGGGTTGGAGTACACGGTTTGCTCTGCTGTGCTTCCTCCTCCACTGCTTGGCATTACTGTCCTCCTCCGAGTCCGTGCCACCTGCAGGACCACCCCGACCTGCAGCGCTGGCACCAACCGTACCAAACTGAATCCGCGAGCCGTATTTGAATGCTGCCTGGGAAGTTCGTGTTCTGCCACAGTACTGGTAGCAGCAACGGTAACGGTTCTCGTAACGGTTCTCAGCACTACAGCAGTGCTATGCCCGCAGCAGCATACTCAGGTTTTTTTTCTCAATGGGGACTCAAGGGTTGGAGCCAGTAGTCATGAAAACCTACAGTCCCCAGAAGTGCTGGGAGGAACTAAATTGATAGTGCTGAAGAGCAGGGTTTAGAGGCTGATATTTTCATGCATCTTTTTGCAACTTTATGTTGGCTCCTTTTATTTTGCATGGCACTGTGGATGGATTAGGGACGGACTAGACAATAGGAGCAGTAATTATTGTTCTGATGTTAAATGTCTTTAAATGTCCATGACGATTCAAGACTCCTGCTTATGGCTAGCTCTGAAACTTTCTTTTATTTTAGATGAGCTTCATTAGTACATTTCTGGGATGATAAGGCATCTGAGTAATCCAGTCTGTACCCATACAATTTTATCAATCCCAAAGGGAGACAAGCACTTCATTTCCGACGTAGAGTCCCGCTGAGGTCCGTTGCTTGCGACTGCACAAGTTTCCTTTCGGACATACAGATGCTTCTACGCAGGACTGTGCTCCTTCCCGCCCGCTCCGTGGAGGAGCGTCCACCTTCCCACCCCTTGCCCATGCCGTGGGGCGGCGCTGACGCAGGGCTGCGCAGAAACCAGCGCCGCAGCTCGCGTGGAGCTTCTGGCATAGTCACTGAGAGATGATTTCATTTAGTTGGTGTGGGCACTCTTGTTATCTTCCTTGTTTCCATACTCTGTGAGGATCCTGGATTTGGCAATGTAAGAGATAAGGCTAATTGAACTGTCAGGCTTTCTGGGAGAAGAGTGCAGCGCTGCTGGTTGTGGTAGCCAGGAAAACAGTGATCTAAAGTTAGCCCATGTTCCGTTTTTATTTAGATCCCTGTTGTTGTGGGGGCTTTTTTTTTTATTTTGCATTTTTGGGTTTTGAATGACATAAAATTAGCTCCTTCTGAGTTTATACTGAAAAGAGCATTAAGAGCTTAAATGTTCGGTGGAGGTGGCTATAAACCCATTGAATTGCCATGATTTAGAGGCCACTGAGTTTTAGCTTAGCAAGCAAAGCACACATGAAGCATCCCTCATTTTCAATACCTAAATGGCATTGTGGAAAAGTAACTCCAGACTTGTGAGGTCAGGAGCATCCGTTGGAGAGCTGAGTGCCTGGAGAGGAGGTGCATTGCACGGCAGGGATGAGCAGGAGGGGCCTGAAAGGCTCTGCTGATGCCGTGTGCGGTGCCACCAGCTGCTTCCAAAGTGCTTTGTCATTTGTATGTAAGTGTCTGGGTGTATATATGTGTGTATGCAAACACATATATCTCTCAATTGTTCTTCTGGAAGGGAGTATAGAAGCTCTTATGTCAAGATATGGACAATGATAAAGATGTCGGGTAACAAGATGAGGATGACACACTGTTACATGAGCCTCCGTTTCATGATTTAACCACAGATGGTTTGTCTTTGCTTTTTTATTATGTGATTTGCTTATCGCGCAGAGACTGACAGATGTTTGCTCTCCCTTACAGGCTCTTGAACCTGATCTACAATGGAAAAACTGCTTTTGTTTTTGCTGTTCATTGGCATAGCGGTGAGAGCTCAGATCTGCCCAAAGCGCTGTGTCTGTCAGATTTTGTCTCCGAACCTTGCCACCCTTTGTGCCAAGAAAGGGCTCTTATTTGTTCCTCCCAACATTGACAGGAGGACCGTGGAGTTACGGCTGGCAGACAACTTTGTTACAAACATTAAAAGGAAAGACTTTGCCAATATGACCAGCCTGGTGGACCTGACGCTGTCCAGGAATACAATCAGTTTTATTACACCTCACGCATTTGCTGACTTGCGCAATTTGCGGGCTTTGCATTTGAACAGCAACCGATTGACTAAGATCACCAACGACATGTTCAGTGGACTCTCCAATCTTCACCACTTGATACTTAACAACAACCAGCTTACTTTAATTTCTTCCACAGCTTTCGATGATGTTTTAGCTCTTGAGGAATTGGATTTGTCTTACAACAATCTGGAAACCATCCCCTGGGATGCAGTTGAGAAGATGGTTAGTTTGCACACTCTCAGTCTAGACCACAACATGATTGACCATATTCCGAAGGGGACCTTCTCCCACCTCCACAAGATGACCAGGTTGGACGTCACATCTAACAAACTGCAGAAGCTACCGCCTGATCCTCTCTTCCAGCGAGCTCAGGTACTAGCAACCTCAGGAATTATCAGCCCCTCGACTTTTGCATTGAGCTTTGGTGGGAACCCTTTGCATTGCAACTGTGAGCTTTTGTGGTTGCGGCGTCTTTCGAGGGAAGATGACCTGGAGACCTGTGCTTCTCCCACGCTCTTGTCCGGCCGGTACTTCTGGTCGATCCCCGAGGAGGAGTTCCTGTGCGAGCCGCCTCTCATCACCCGGCACACCCATGAGCTGCGGGTGCTGGAGGGCCAGCGGGCAGCGCTGCGGTGTAAGGCCCGGGGGGACCCCGAACCAGCAATTCATTGGATTTCACCCGAGGGGAAACTGATTTCAAACGCAACGAGGTCTGTGGTGTACGACAACGGGACGCTTGACATCCTTATAACAACGGTGAAGGACACGGGCTCCTTCACCTGCATTGCTTCCAATCCGGCTGGGGAGGCCACGCAGACGGTGGACCTGCACATAATCAAACTCCCCCATTTGCTGAACAGCACGAACCACATCCACGAGCCCGACCCTGGCTCCTCGGATATCTCCACTTCCACCAAGTCAGGCTCCAACGCGAGCAGTAGCAACGGGGATACTAAAGTCAGCCAAGATAAGAAGGTGGTTGTTGCGGAAGCAACGTCCTCAACCGCTCTGCTGAAATTCAATTTTCAGAGGAATATACCTGGGATACGTATGTTCCAAATCCAATACAACGGTACTTACGATGACTCCCTTGTTTACAGGTAAGGCAGCCCCAGCCCGCCTGCGCCGGGGCCCTGACATGCTGCTCGGTGCTGACATGCTGCCCCCGGCTCCAGGCAGCCCCCTCCGCCGGAGCAGCGGGCTCCCG